TTGTATGTTCATGCTTTCCTACAGCCACTCCCACATACACATATATATGTATATGCACACAGATATCTGTGTGTAGTCAAAATGAGATTTATCTTACTTGCTAAAGCCACCAGCAGGCATTATAGTCATGCAACCTTGATACACTGGTCACATTAACAGTGACAGTAAATGTGACTGACTCCAGCCAAGCCTGAGCTGACTGCTCCAGACTGACACCCCAGGAGCTGGACATGACAGAGCCTCTCCCCTCAGCCCCCAGCTCTCCCTTTTCTCTCATGTTGCCATCCTTGCACATCAACTGGCTGCAACCTAATCCCAGCTCAAATCATGCCCAGGATCCAGCAGCAGCTTTGTTACTGCTTTATTTTAAAGCATAGCTGCAGGAGGGGGAGATGGCATCAGCACCCATCCTTTGTGATTCAGCTGGTACAGAGGCATGGGAAGCAGCACAGCTCCTTCACAGCTCCTCTTCCTCCCCCAGCTTCACCCCAAACCTCCCAAGCCTGGCTCTCTGGAAGCTGGGAATTGTTCATCACATCAATGCTTTGCTGCTATGGACCAAAGCAAGTGAAGATTCACAGGGCATGGAGAGGAAGTCATGGACCCAAAGGGCAAGAGATTCCCTGGGCAGATTTTTGAAGAGGCCCATGTGGGTGGCTTAGCAGCCAGTGCATCCTTCAGGGAGAAGTGCCCTGGGGCTGGGGACACTGTTCATCCACCTCACATAAGGAGCTGTCAGGTAAAGCCCAGGAACCAGCCTGGGATGAGGGGCAGGACCTGAAGCTTCTCTTGCCAGCTCGGCTTCATCGTTCACTGCATCACCACTGACACCTCTCCCCACTTCATGCAATAACAACCCAGCATATCTGTCATTTTTATCAGTTCCTGCAGCTCAGCTGCTCAAAACTTCCTGCTAGTGTCATTTAGCCTCTCTCATCTCATAGATAGCTCCTAGCTGCTAATATATACTAACAATTTTCACAGTCGCCTGCTTTCCATCTGTTACAGCTTCACTGCTGCTTTTTTTCTAACTTCCTCTATGATCTCAGCTTGCCTTTGTTGAAGTTACACACTTTTTCATCCTTACTGTGAATTTTGGGGTTTTTGGACACCAAATAAAATGTCTCTTAACAGTTTTCAGCTCTCAATCATATTTCCTTCAATTTAAATTCCTTCTTGCAGCTGATTTGATTCAGAACAGCTTTCAGGCTGGTGAAACTGGTGTTGCAGAGGTGCAGAGATGGCTGGCTGAGATGTCTTTTCATGGTACAAAATGGATGTAATGCAACCATACTGTCTTGAACCCAAGTGTTTTTAACTTTCAGCCCACGTGGTCAATCCTTTAGCTGCCAGTGTAGCACTCCCAGAATACTGGGAGCAACACCTTTAGAGATATAAAATGTCATTTATAATTTCAAACTGTTCTGACATTTAAGTATTATGATGTGAGTCCTCCAGCAGCTGCCTCCCACTTTGCAACCTGCTTGAGAGCTCCATGGTACAGACAGATGAGAAGGATTCTTGTGTGATTTTCCTGTCCCTAGCAGGCACCAGGTAATACCTGACCTTGTCTGTTGTTCCTTAGGCCCATGAGCTGCGTGCCTCAGTGTTGTCTGACTCACATCTGGGTAATACAGATTATGTGCTGCTCCTTTGTTTTTATCCAACTGGTGTCCCTCAGGTCATCAGAACCACTTTGTGCAATTGAGTCACATGAAACGTTTGGGTTTCAGCAGCAGAAGGGTCAAATATATATTCATAAATTACCAGCTCCAGCTCTTTGTGTTTAATCACCAGACATGTAGTACCTGTGATTCACAATAAAAACAACACTCTTTCACTCACTCTTTTCACTTTTTTGACCTCAAGCAAAGTCAGTTCAAACTTTAAATTCATCCCTTGTCTAAGGTCTGTGCATCCTCAGGGGCAGAAGGTATTCCAGATCTTGCCTGAGGACATTTGCATTCAGGATTGTGGCTCTCAGGGAACATCTCAAGAGGAGCATCCCCAGGTGTCCCAGTCTTCAGGGCCCATGTGCCTGATGTTCTTCCACCTGAGTGAGGATCTGCACACCCTGGGGCTTTCCTTCTTTGCTAAATAAGAAGGAAGTGATGCTGAACAGCACCAGAAAAGACAATTACAGTGTTGTGATTGATCAATGCCCGGAATTGGACCACAGATACAGATCCAGCAATGGGCAGAAAAGAAGCACTGAGGGCTTTGCAGCACTCAGTGGAAATCCTGCATCTTTTTTATTAGGATGATAAAAGAAATGGGGTGTTAAGTGAGAAGGAATTGTGCTGAAGGCATCAAAAAACTCATCAGCTACTTTACCAGCAGTAATGGTTCTGAGTGAGGGGTTTGGTGCTTAGACAAAAAGGGTCATTAAGAGATCAGGTCTATAATGGCACTGAGGAGCCTTCTGAGATAAATGGTAGATTTCCTACAGGTTGCTGATTTCCTAAGACAGATTTCATTCTTAGGTACCGAAAACAGAATTTTCATAGTCAGAGAATTTTTTACTGAAGTGCAAATTGAAACAGCTAAACGGTGTTTATGCATGTGTATGCATATAAATATGTATCAACTTCCCTTCCTCACTTGACATGATTGCAAAAGAAATTCCCATTCTGACTTTTCACACCCACATGAATACAGGAAGAAGGAATTTAAAGGTTGCTTAAATTTATGTATCCACTGTGAAATTCCTGGGTACTGAAAAGTACATTTTGTTGAAGATATATGAGTGCCATGTAATTTACTGTTTGAGGGCTTCCAACTGAAATGTTACTGTACATCGCACAACACTTTTCACTGAGTGGGAGTTCACCTTGCTTATCTCTGGCCAGAAGTTCGCACTGTTATTCTCTGTGCATCAGCTCCCCCCCACAATGGAAGCAGGAGCATTTAACTGGTGTTACATAAAAGTCAATTAGTGCTCAGCAGTCCCTAAAAGAGCGTGAAGGAACTTTCTGACTTCAACAGACAAGAATGTGATTGTTTGCTATTAAATATTAATAGCATTGCTGTGGGAAATAGATCTTTGGGGATCTGAGAAGTGAGATATGCAAAATATGGAGGTATAAACCCAATGCATAAAAGAAAGGAACAGAAAAACCACAGCTGTGGTAAACCTTTATCATCAGCACCGATGGCCTCTTTTCAGAGAGCGTGGTGGCTCAGGAGATGCAGCCACATCCCACTGCCTGCCAAATCAAATCCCTGTCTGTTTTTTTTTTCCCAGCAGTTGGTTCCTCTCTAGGGAAAATGCTGCACTGACCTGTATGGTATTCACATTCTCTGAACAGAGAGACATGATTCTCTCTCCCAGGATTGTTCCTGGGAAGTTGTGAGATACCTTGAGAAAGCTCAGAGAAAGAGAAAACAATTCTTATCTCTGTTGGCTGCGCCTGTTGTTTGGCACATGTGGAATGTGTTATGGAGATTGTTTCCCAAGCAGTGATTTGCTAATTGGACACTGGTGATGGTTGTGTGGGTTGATTGGCCACTTGGGTCAGAGCTGTCTCATGACCATGACGGTATGGAGACAGTCATGGGTTTTTCTTCAGTATCTTTTTAGTATGATATAGTTCTAGTATAGTATAGTATTAATGCTATACTAGTATTAATTTAGCTTAATGAAAGCAATTTATTCAACCTTCTGCAACCTGGAGTCAGAGCACGTTATTCCCCATGCAGGGGGGGTCACACTGCTTTCACAAACCTGCAGGGATCTCCCTGTTCCATGGGCAGCCAGGCTCTGTGCTGGGCTCCCCAGAGCTGCTCCTGCTTCCCCCTGAGCCTCTGTCCATGCTGGGCTCCCCAGAGCTGCTCCTGCTTCCCCCTGAGCCTCTGTCCATGCTGGGCTCCCCAGAGCTGCTCCTGCTTCCCCCTGAGCCTCTGTCCATGCTGGGCTCCCCAGAGCTGCTCCTGCTTCCCCCTGAGCCTCTGCCTGTGCAGCTCTTGGACACGGCACAGACTGATGAAGCAGGGCTTCTACACAGCAGCCTTGTGCCTTCCACACAAATAGGTTTGGAAAACTCAACTAGGCATGTCCAGGTTACTCTGGGCTCCTGCCTGGGCCAGCTTTGACTGTGGGAATTATGGGGCTAATGGAAGAAATATGGAAAGGCTCAGGATGAACTGAATTCAAGGCCAGGGATACTCACAAAGGATTTCCACATCATGCAGATTGCACATATCAGATTGAATTTGACTTCTTTGCTGGTTGGCACAGCTGGTTTATCACTGTGAATGTGTAACTGTAAATACATAGATACATTTTCCTTACGCTTTGTGGATAAATGTCAAAAATTTGACTTTTCTGTCTCGGAGAGCAAGCCCCACAGGTGAATATACAGCAGAAAAACATATGTCAAAGAAAATGTTTTGTAGCTCCAACCCTCCCTGAATGAACAGGCAGCTCAAAAGTCTGCAGTCACTATTTGAATTGCTTTCATGCTACCAGCTTTTTTGAGGAAACTTTTTGACAACAAAACAACAGACATCATTTGCCACAAGTCTGGTAAACAGAATAAAAGGATTAAGAAGAAATAGAAAATATCAAGGATGACACTGCAGCAGCTCTGGCTCTACTGAATTCACTGCTGCCAGTTACATCAGGCTAGCTCTTCCTCCTTTAAATTAAAACTATATTTTGTTTTAGATAATCTAATTTCCCAGAATACAAACACTGGAAAACCCAAGCTGGATTTTTCAAAAGGATAAGGCTCAGAGGCTCAAAGCAGCTGATAGTAGCAAAGGAGTGATATTTACACAGGCTGGAACCCACCAAGCCTCCATGTCCAGGGCTGCTCATTGACCAGTGTGGGTCTGTAGAGCACAGACCATGTTCAACTCTGGCACCTCATGGAATTTATTTCACTCCTAAGCCCAAATATTGTCATTAGTGGAACTGCCAATATTTAGGTAAATTGATACCTATTTCCCAGTGCCTACACAAAATTTGTGTGTAAACAGTGTCAGCCAGAGCTCCCTACCTTTTCTGGCACTGTGGAAATTGTGTGCCCAGACCAGGCAGGAACAGATGTCCTGGTGACTCAGTGTGGGTCAGCCCCATCTGTGCTCTTCCCTTCCCACCATGATCCTGAAAAAAGATTGACCTTCATGAGCAGGAGGGAGTGCTTTCATTTAGAAAGGTCGCAGTGCTGTAATAAACTTAATCTTTATTAGCTGGTGCACATAGCAGTGCAAAGTTTGCAGTAATTGTACCTTGACTCAATAGATTAAAAAAGAATAAAATCACTTCACATTTGCCCTTGATATAGAGCATAAAGAAATAGAAAGAATTTACATATAAAGAATTTAGTACTGCTTATGAAACCTAAAAGCTAAGTTCAGAGAAAGTTGTGCCAAGATCAGGAACATTCAAATGTGTCCCCAGATGTTCTTAAATCTGTAGCTGACACCAAAAAGGAGTTAAACTGAACAGCCATGACAAGGAGCTCAGAAGCACCAGTTTTGATGAACCACCTCAAAGTGGCAAGTGTGGCAAGCCCCAGTGTGTGCCCTGCTGGCACAGCCTGGCAAGGAGCCCTGTCCAGCCCCAGCCCTGCCAGCCTGGGATCAGAGCAGGGCAGGCTGCTCTCGGGTTTGCCACAGATGGGCAGATTTTGTTCAAAGAATTGCTCCTGATTTCTGTAAGTAATGTGTTTTCTCCTGGCTTCATCTTGCAAAAACTGCCCCATAAGTCATGTTGAAGATAAAATGTTTAAAAAAGCAACCAGAAGCTGTACAGCTTAAGGCTTTTGCTAACCATTGACAAAGATCTGTAAATGTCCAGCACATACACAAATGCTGTATCTTCAACTTATTTAATTATCCAGGAGTGGGCACCAGTTTTGGTAAACATTACAAGCAAAGGTGAACTAGCCAACTTTTTTGACTTTGTTTGCATCAGATCACATCCTGCTGGTTTTTTATTTGTCATTTAATACACGATGAATTCACAACAGTAAAATACAGAGCAGTGGTCAAGAAGTTCACATTGTGGGGAAGTTGAATGGCTTGAGGGCCAGTGGCAACAAATGGGGATATTTATCAACATGACTGCTCTCTGATTTTATTGATATGAAAACTAGAATAGCAATATAACATATTGTCTTCCATTGATTACCAGGAATTTCCTTTTACTAACAGTGAGTTGTCTTTTTATTAATTATTGCTCTTCTGTTCATGTTTTCCTTGTGCTTGTTTGGAGAGGTGTCCTGCTTTTGGCTGGGATAGAGTTAATGTATGCAGTACATTACATTTACAATCAGAGACCTCATTGCTTCAAGTCAAGGAAAATAACCAATTCTGCATTGTCAAAACCTTGCTCTTTTTAAAAGAAGTAATGATCATATTAGAAAAAGATAATTTTGTCTTCTCAAAAACCCACAAACCAACTAGTGAAAAAAATCCACCCACTAACAAAACATCTAAACCAAATCCTCTCAGATCAGCTTCATTCTGTGGTTCAAATGATCAGGAACAACAACACCACACATCTTCTGGTCTATACCTCCCTGGCTGTGCTAATTAATAGTGGCCAAAGGCAGTATTTATTTCTTAGCTCATGAGATAATAGGTTATTGATTGATCTGGGAGCTAATAGCCAAGGTTATGTCTCACATAAGAAGTGATTGTGTGGATTGAAGTTCATCATTGATCCTGTTCCCACACACTCAGGGGGATCATACATTTAACTGTCACATAAATAAGAACAAAAGACCCTTAATGACATTTATTGACCCACAGAGATGTGATTCCTCACTTGCACCCACCACCAGTTACTGTGGTCAGCCCACGGCTTGCCACTGACTTAGGTCTGGTATTTTCATTTCAGTGGCTCTTCTCTGCCAAGAGCAGGGAAATTGGAACATGCTGGAATCTTCTGCTCCTGCAAGGAGGAGCTGGATTTCACTGCCCTTTCATCCTGTGCCATTGCCATCTCACCAGAGCAACCATGGTGAAACTCAGGAACCATGAGAGGAATGAAATAGCCAAGGAAGTATTTTAAAGGACTATAAAAGGTTTGGAAGAGATTAAAACCAGAAACAAATGGAGTCATAAATGCAGTGTGGAATTGAATACAAATATTGAACAGCAAGCACATGATTGGAACTGCAGAACTGGACACAATTTGGAGCTCCCATTCTAATGAAATCTTCAGGATCATAAAATCTGGTCTCACCACAGAATACTTTGTGGAAACCATTTGTTTCAGTTATACCACTTTGGTTGTTCCAAGTCTTAAAATCCAGAACCAAAAACCTTATTAAGACATGTGTTTCTAAAATGTGTTTCAGAAATATGGAGGTCTCAATGATTTGATATAGCTCTGCAAGATGGCTTGAGTTCCTCTGAACTGGGATATTCAGAATGAGAAATGGTCTATCAAAAACCCCACCAAAACCAACCAAAAAAACCCAACCCAAAAACAAAAATAAAATGAAATTGAATAAATTGAAATATCTGTTTTGTTTAGATGGAATCCAGAATTAAATTGATTGTTTTATATCAAAACATTTTGTACTGTTCTAATCACTAACTGGACCAGTTCCTCTACTATTCATTCCTCTACCCATTTGTATCTGTATAATTAATTACTTTAGTTTGCCCTCTATTAGGAGACATCTGGAGACTGCTACTGAAAACCAAATGCAGAAAAGTACCTAACCTTCTCTTGTAGCCTTATGTTAGTGTCACTGAGAAATGCCCTTTGTTTCTTCCTGGCCACTGATTTTCCCAGCCATGTGGGTCCCTTTTACACAATTCTGACTGGCCCTGCCCATCCCCTGTGTGGATCCACAGCCCTCTTTGAGACTGTCTGCTCACTTATTGTTTTTATTCTACCACAGCAGCTTGGGAATTAAGTTCAGCTCCCAGTTTCCCCAAGTCTTTTCTAAGCTGGAACTGAACCTCTGTTTTTCATGTGCTTGCCCAGCTCAGGAAATTTTCATGGAAGACACAGCTTATGAAGGCAGATGATGGCAACCTAAAAAGCTATTAATTTATTTGACATAAAAGCATTTTGGAACCGTGCTGCTCAGTGGCACATGAACCTTGTTTTTATTAAGCCGTGTAATGGGGAAAAAACTAGTATCAAATCCAAGGAAAAGCATTAAAAAGCTGTTTTGCCTTAAGGTACAGAAGCACCTGAAAAGCGTGGTATTTTCTCCTCTTTCAACTATTACAGGGAAATAGCATTTTTATTCTCTCATTTATGTCAGTTAGGATAGCTAATGATATATATTATTACAAGACCCAAAGCCAGACTCATCTCACGTTAGTATTACATTCTCTTCTTTGCATCTAGCACTGCTTTTCTGACTGTTATGTGTCATCCAAATAATTTCAGATGCAGTTTCAATTACAGGAAATAACTGAATCCTGGAGGAGGTGTAAATGCATCAAGTATTTTAGCAACCTGTCCTGCTTGGCAATAGCTGAGGGACCTGTTTGTATCTCCAGGGAAGGAGCTGGAGGTGCACATCTGCCTTCCACCAAGCAGCCTTCAAAGTTACTGTGCTAAGAGGATAAATATCATCTACAAGCACGGGAGAGTATGCCTTGCAATTTAAATGTGCACTTTCACCATAAGTGCCCAATGAGGGAAAATATCTATTTTTATTCCCTCTGAATTCAATACAAATTCAACAGTAGCTGCAACATCTAAGCCCAGCCACGGAAGTTTTTTTTTATATGATATTGTATTTTTTGGCTCAGGTTTGTGCAGGCTGTGCTAGCTAATGAAGAATTTCCAAATGGATGTCCATGATTTCAACAAAGCCAATGTTTTGGAGGGAAATAATCTGCAGTGTGGAAAGAAACGAGATAGATTTTTTTCTGAGTAATTAATTGAAATGACATGTTTAATTGAAATGAAATGCAGTGGGTATTTGTTACTTGCTGTGCTGTAGCCTGATTATCAATTCTCTCTGCAGAACACCAAGACTACAATTTTAACACTGAGGATCTTCTTAAGAGCTTCCTTTTGAGTTTCTAATAATAAATTAAAAATTCCCTTTTTGGGGATCTGGATTTAAATGAAGTAATGTCATAAAAGAAAAGTGCCCTGAAACAGATGAGCTTAATTTAATTTAAGACTAAAAAAAATCCTGCACTAAATTTCATGATTGGGTGAAAAGACATGTGTCAGCACCAAGTCACTGGGATCTATTCAGGGATACACTAAAAATGTAAGACTATTTCCACGAGTGCTTACATTGCTAATAGACCTCTTAAAAATAGTGTAATGGAGATTGAGGTTTGTATCTGAACACATTGTACTATTTATCACTGGCAGCTGCACCTGCTTTTTGCATTAATCTTCTTGGAGAACACGCACCAAAGGACTGAAGGCTCGAGCTGGGGCTGGCACTTCTCCCAGAGGCTGTGGGACACCCCGTGGGTGCCTCGGAGAGCTGCATCCCTGGGTCCCTTTTGGAGAACTGGATTCCCTTTGGAGAACTGGATCTCCTTTGGAGAGCTGCATCCCTGGATCCCCTTTGGAGGACTGCATCCCCTTTGGAGAGCTGGATCCCTGGATCTCATTTGGAGAGCTGAATCTCTGATCCCACTCAGAGCACTGGATCCCTGGATCCCCTCTGGAGAGCTGTACTCCTGGATCCTCTTTGCAGAGCTGTACTCCTTGATCCTCTTTGCAGAGCTGGATCCCCCTCAGAGAGCTGGATCCCTGGATCCCCCTCGGAGCACTGGATCCCTGGATCCCCTTTGCAGAGCTGGATCCCTGTGTGGCTCAGGGACAGCCTGAGGCATCCTGACTGACAGCACAGGCCTGTGCTGCCTGTGGCCCTTGGAGGATGGGGTTCATCCCTCTTTCTTTCCCAAGGATTGCATCCCATACTGATGCCTTAAGTTTTAGTATTTCTATTTTTCCGATCCTGTACTGCATTAGTGTATAACTCTGGGCTCCATATAAAGTCTTAGAAAGATTTCTTCACATTTTGGTCAGACAAAACAATCCTTCCAGGCCTGAGAACCAAGGACAGCCTTGTCCTCAGGCCCCAAAAAGTATAAACAAAAGTGAATTCAGGAGGAGAAGCAAACTGGGGGAATATGACTTCATTACCTGAAGCTATA